TCTTGCCCTCGCCCTCGCCCATTCAACGACACCTCCTCGTTCTCACCCCCCTCTTCTTTCCCTCCCGTTCCTCCTTCTCCTCATCCTGATCCTCATGGTCCTCCTCCTTCCTCTCCTCCTCTTCCTTCTGTACCTCCTCATCGCACTCCTGCGCGTCCCTCTCCTCGTACGAACCCTTCTCATCGTCCCGGTCGGGTTCATCCTCGTCGTTGTCCTCCTCCTCCTCCTCCTCCTCCTCCTCCTCATACTCTACCTCCCCATCGCACTCCTCATTATATGTGTCCTGGTAATGCTACTCATCCTGTTCACAATGATCCTCCTTGAGTTGCTCGTACTCTTCCTCGCGTTCCTCGTCCTCCTCCTCCTCGTTTTCGCAACGCTTTGTCTCCTCCTTCTGCTCCTCCTCGCAATGCTCCTCATCCTCGCATTCATCCTCCTCCTTTTCCTCCCACTCCTCCTCGTCCTTCCCGTCCTGTTCCTCCTCCTCCTGCTCCTCCTGCTCCTCCTCCTCCTGCTCTTCATCCTCCTCGTCACTCCTCTTCTCCGCTTACTCCTCCATGCCAGCGATGCCCTCGCACCCTCGATGCCGCCTCCAGCAGGCATCCTTGCCAGGGATGCCCTCAAAGGGGTAACCATGGGCCCGGTCTTGTCTCCCTCCTCCATTACTCCGCTTTCCTCCTTCCCTTCTCCTGCCCCTTCCTGCCTGCTCCCTGCTCGCCGCGATCTCGCCCCAGGCATCTCCACGATCTGCTCGAGCATGGCTGCCCTGTGAAGAACCTGCGGAACCGAATGTACCAAAGAATCGCGCTCGCGCCTTGGCGCCGCTGACCTCCTCCGTCGGGCCAGAGGCGCCCAGAGACTCCTGCTCAACGCACACCTCGACAACAGAAGAGTCATGAAGTGGTTCGTTTGGGTCTGGCCACTCCGCCCTCCTCCCTCCTCCCCCTCGAAGCCCAACATGTTGAGGATGTCTCACGCGAAACACGCCGGACCACCTCGCGCGCAGCATCGCGGAGTCCCGAATTGCGAGAACGTCTCGAGCGAAACAGACAAGACCACCTCGCGCATATTGTCTCGGGGCCCAGAGTTGTGAGGATTTCGCAGGTCTCGCGCGCCACATCTGGGATCTCAGAGTTGCGAAGGTGTCTTAGGCGGAGCCCAGGCCCCTCCTAGAGTACGAGTCGAAAACCGAAGAGTAATCAAATAGTTCGTTTGGGCCTGAATCCACGGATTGCTTTGGGTTTGAGCCCTCCTACCTCCGCCCTCCTCCCTCTCGGAGCCCAGAGTTTTCGAGGATGTCTCAAGCGAAACGCGCCAAACCACCTCGCGCGCGGTGCCTTGGAGTCCAGTTTCGAGGATGCCTCGAGTGAAACGCACCGGATCACCTCGCGCGCGGGCATCTCGGAGTTCAGATTTGTGGATGCCTGAAACGAAACGTGCCAAACCACCTCGCGCGCGACATCTCGAGTTCAGAGATGCCGGAATGTCGCAGGCGAAACGAGGCAGATCACCTCGCTTGCAGCATCTCGAAGATCAGAGTTGCGAGGGCGTCTCAAGCGAAACGCGCCAGACAACCTCGCTCGCGGTATCTCGGAGCCCAGAGCCGTGAGGATGTATCAAGCGAAACGGGCTGGACCACCTCGCGCGCGGCATCTCAGAGATCAGAATTGCAAGGATGTCTCAGGCGAAATGCACTGTACCACCCCGCGCGCGGCATCTCAAAGCCAAGAATTGCGAGTACGTCTCAGGCGAAACGCGCCAAACCACCTCTCGCGCGGCACCTCGAAGACCAAAGTTACGAGGATGTCTCAGGCGAAATGCGCCGGACCACCTCGCGCGCATCTCGTGGTTCAGAATTGTGAATATCTTTCAAACGAACCGAGCCAAACCACATCGCGCGTGGTATCTCGGACTCCGGATTGATGGCAATGTCTCACGCGAAACGTGCCCAAGACCTCGTGCGCGGCATCTCGGAGCCCAAAGCCGTGAGGATTTCTCGTGCGAAACGTGCTGGACCACCTCGCGCTCAACATCTCAGAGCTTTGTTTTCAAAGATGTCTCAGGAGAAACGACCAATCCCGGCCAGCTCGCAAACGAGAATTGTGAGGATGTCTCAAGCGAAACGGCCCGGATCACGCATCTGATTTGAGGATGTCTCTAATTTCGCCTCCCTCGGCCGGAACTATCTTCTATCACAACATAATCTCGTTCTGAAAACTTGTGAGGGCAAAAACGCTTACAACAACCCCTTTCAAGGGTATCTCATGATTCACCACGCCGCGCAGCCGGGAAACTAGCCCAGAAGAAAACCTCGAGCACGACAGCTCCATTTTCCACTGCGGGGGGCAAACCTTTCCACCCGAGAACAAGCCCTCCAACCAGGAAGCATCAGATTGTCTGTACTCTCCTCCTCTTCCGCCAGAGATATGTGTCGGCACGTGTTTTTTTTCGGTTTTGATGCGTCTGCTGTTCGCAGGGCTGGGATCACCAAGCTTGGATCCGAGACGGAGCCTGGTGAAGGGGTCGAGGCCACAGCAATCCCATCATCGGAAATCTGGGTAGCTACCCTCCCTCCTCTGCTCTCCTCTGCCGCTCCCCCTCCCCACCCCGCTTTCGCTGCAACCCGCCCCCCTCCCCGGGTCCCTCCTCTCCTCCCCGCCAGGCGAGGAGGGGAGGGGGGCAGGGGGAAGCGCGAGGCTCGCCCCTGCCGCCAACTCCTTTCCCCCTCCCCTCCTGTCCCTGCCCTCCCTCTCGCGCCTCCACCTCTCCCTCGCTCCCTTCCCGCCTCCGTCCCTCGCCCCCCCTCCTCCCTCCCCTCCACCTCTCCCTCCCTCACGCTCCCTCCCCCCTCCCCCCCTCCCCTCCATCCCTCCCCCCTCCTCCCACAGGAACGCAAGACGTCCACACATGAAAAGCAGCCAGCCCCCCGGCAGGTGCGGACGAGCGCAGCGGGGGGCGAACGCGAAGGAAGTCGCGCGCCTCCCGGCGAGCCCTCCCCGCGAGCACGGCCCCCGTTCGGGACCTGCCCACGCGCCTGCCGCGCGCACAGCTTCCCCGTCCGGCCGAGCGCGCGCGCGCATGGAGAAGGAACACGGAGCCAGACCGCTCGGCCCCCTGACTTCAATCATGAGGCCGTCTACACGAAGACACTCTGAGACACTCCCGGACGCACCCAAAAAAACAACGCACTCGTGTGCGCGCGTGTGTGTGTGTGTGTGTGTGTGTGTGTGTGTGTGTGTGTGTGTGTGTGTGTGTGTGTGTGTGTGTGTGCGTGCGTGTGTGTGTGTGTGTGTGTGTGTGTGTGTGTTTGTTTGTTTTGTCTGTGTGTGTGTCTGTGTGTGCGTGCCTGCGTGCGTGCGTGCGTGCGTGCGTGTGTATGTCTGTGCGTGTGTGTGTGGTTGTGTTTGCTTGTGTGTGTGCGTGTGTGTGTGTGTGTTTGTGTGCTTGTGTGCGTGTGTGTGTGTCTCTGTGTGTGTGTGTGTGCGTGCGTGCGTGCTCGCTTCTTTCCACGCGTCAGCTGCGTCCTCCGCACGCGAGATCCTTACTTGCGGCCTCGCGCGCGGGCTGCGCCCCTTGGCCGCAACCCCCACGGATACGGGGCGCTGCTTCGCGGATGCCCCGCGCAGAATGTCATCGTGCAACCGCGTATCCGCGGGAGCGCGCCCCGCAGTCCAGACCGCGAGGGCCGCGGATGCGGAGGTGTCCGCCGCTCGTGCGCCCCGCCCATCCACGGGCAGAAGCTCTGTGGCAAGTGGTCTGGGCGTGCCCCGCACTAGAACTCGCTTCGTTGGGTCGACCAGCCGTGAGGGGAAAAGCTTTTTGTACTCGCTGGCACCCTACAAAGTCAGGGTCTCACCCCCGTCCCCCCTCGGTTTCCTCCCTGTGCCACTGGGCTCCTCTGGCGCTGGAACAAAAAGCATGTGTGCGCGCGCGTGCGCGCACTCGTTTCTGCATTCCCGCAACATGAAGCGCAGCAAGACGAAAGCATGGCTGACCCTCGCCAGCGAAGCCATCGCACAGCTCCTGAGCCCAGTTCCGCCGAGCGAAACCCAAACCACACAGGAGTGTCTCCTCAGCGCCATGCCCCGCTGTTGGTAGGCTTGCTGGTGCCTCCGCATGCAGCTGGCTCAGTGGGCGCACAGGGTTGGGATAATCTCGCAAAATTCTCTCTCCCTCTCTCGCCAATGTGTTTCTCTCTCTCTCTCTCTCTATCTCTCTCGCCAAACTTTCCCTATCTCGTGAAATTCTCTCTCTCTCTCTCTCGCCAAATTTGTTTTCTCTCTCTCTCTCTCTATCCATCTCTCTCTCTTGCTCCCATGCCATCGCTTATCATCACTTTGTCCTCGGAGGCGGCTGGGGGGTCCCCAACTGGTTGGAACCACGCGAAAACGGTCAGGATGGGGGGAGGAAGCCAACTCCGCGGGCCGAACCCTCCCTGGATCCATCCGGCGGATCTTTGTTCCAGCCCGGCTCCGTTCTCGACGGTCTCCCGGGGCCCGAACGCGGCCCCCGCCGGAAGGGTTGGAAAAGGCCATACGTCGCCTCGAACCCGGAGCGCTGGCCGGCACCAGCGTCAGACCCCCGGCCAGCTCCCTCCAAACTCGACTCGCTCTTGCTCCTTTCTCGCCCTCCGCCTCTCGCTTTCGTTCCTCCTCCCCGCGCCGCCCAGGGTCGCCCGGGGTTCGGAGGCGGACGCGCCCAGCGCATCGGAGCCGCGCGTCAGAAACATGCCCAGGCACAGCGAATCTGTAACCACGCGCGCGCAGGGCAACAGTAACCCAAGAGATCGCATTGGAGGACGACTGCCTGACGAACAAATCCACTCGTTGCGCAAACTGTGTCTCGGATTAATGTGCACCACATCGTGCGCCTAGACGAAGACAGAAACGGAATCGGAGGAGTCCTCAATGTGCTCCCATCGTGCCGTGGACTTCGAGAATGCAAAGCCTGCTTCCATGGCTGACCCGGTGTGAGAGCAATTGAGCATAAGCTCCTGGCCGCTAAGAACTTCTGCAGCAATCTCCATGACCTTGCAAACTGCCAAGTTGGATAATGATGGAATATCGGTGTTCGAAGTCCTCCCACCCCCTTGCGGGGGGCAATCTGCATGCGGGGTAATTACCAAGTAACACATGCAACTGAGTGGCTCCTTCATGTTGTATCTCATAGGAGGCATACGTGCTTCCTGCAACATGGTCACCTCAGCAACTCATGTACCCACTCCTGCAAGAAAATACGTCTGGTGGTAGGCAGGCTACACCCAAGCAAACGATGGAGGATGGTGAACCTGGATCATTCCACAGACCCTGAACCCCACAAAATTGATATATGGTTTGCATCCACCGCCTCCAGCTTTCGGAGGCGGAGCCGCCTCTGCTGTGTTTCCAACCGCCAAAGCGCAAAACAAACATCAACACATGAGCACACGGAAGTTTCCAACTCCACATGAGGGGCTGGCGGCAGAGGGCAACACCGTTCGGATAACACTAAACCCAGCATCGGCGAGGGAAATGTAGCCCTGGTTGGATGAGAAACCATACGTCATGCCTCCGTGGCCCAAAAAGAATCCCCACTGGCTAGTGTTCTCAGGCCAGTAGCTAGCGTTGTTAGACACTGGAACGGCCATGATTCCGGCGCCGTACTCAATGTGGGTACCCCAGCCCATCGACAAGGGTGCAGTACGAGTCATTTCTGCAAGAGATGCATTGCTGACGATACGACGTGCCGACTTCGGGCTGAATAGGTCGAAGAAGAATTTCGCAACATCGCCTGCAGCGCCGATCATGTGTCCGCAGGTCCAGCCCAACACGGTTGGGTTCTGGTCGAACACTACTGTTCCCGAGCCTCCGAATAAAGCAGCGTGCCCAGGAACAGAAAGGTGATCAGACAACTTCATCGAGGCGACTTCGCTGTGCGTCGTTCGTGTCACTGGTGGGAAAGTCAATGTAGGATAATCGTCTCGAGATGGCAACGTAAAATTCCCCAAATCCATGTCCGTGTACTTCCCGTCCGGAACTCCTACAGCTGCGATCAGTAGCCCAGCGAGCTCATAGCTGGCGCTGCTGTAAAAGCTGCACGCGCCTGGAGCACACACCAGCGGAGAACTCTTCACCCTTGTTGGGCAAAAACCAACGCGCATCTTGTTCCAGCAAACCCAGCCGCCTGGCAAGGGGAACCCGTTTGGCCTGCCGAGGCAGCCAAGGTACTGCCCAACCTTCATGCACTTCTCCTGCCTGGGCTCGCAGAAGGCCTTGGCGAGTGGAGGTAGCTGGCCACAGTCGCAGTCTTCCGCTGCTTTACACGTGCCTCCATATTCTTCTTGGTAGGCGGCTGCGTACCTGATGTTGTCGTAGACTGGCCAAACTCTGGATCCTTCCTGTAGTATGTACGCATCTCGAGATCCCGCCTCGAAATCAGGGATGCCTGCAGACATCCGAATGAGGTCTAGAACCGTGGCGTTGTGAACCTCAGGGCCAAACAGTTCCTTCAGCTCGGTGCCATTGTTGGCGCGCAGGTATGGGTCGATGTGAATATGTGCCCGATCGCTTGCCTTGATCTTGCCTTGATCGATCAGGCGCATAAGCGCAGCTGCAGTGAATGGCTTCGTTCCTGATCCATACAAGAACGTGTCTTCTGTCGTGACGTTCCGCTGGGAGCCATGTACATCAACTGTCCCAGCCGCAACTGTGAAGTGGTCTGTGCTCCCATACCACCCGATCTGCAACGCAACGCTCTGGTTCAACGCAACCTGTTATTTGATTCCATTTGGGGGTGGCCAAACCGAAAGAGCGCGGAAACGCTTGGGGATTATCTGAAAGGAAAGAGCGTCTTGGCACGTTCCGAGTGCTAGAGAAACTGCAACAATTCTGAAGGAACCTGACATCAGATGTTCACTGTCTCGGGGTGCGTGTGTGTGTGTGTGTGTGTGTGCGTGTATGTGTGTGTTTGTGTGTGTGCGTGTGTGTGTGTGGCGCGTACGACTTCTGGAATCCGATACGGCTCAACGATCGAAGGGTTTCCATACGGTCGGGAGGTTTGGCTCAGCGTCTCGCGGCGGCGGCCCCAGCGTCACACCATGCCCTGCAAGTTGGCAGCGCGTCGCCCTGCTCCGCAGGGGAGGGCGGCTGGGAGAGGCTTGGGGGCGCGGACGCCTGTGACTACCTACCAGACCACCCCAACCCAACCCGAAGACCCGACTTTGACCCGAATTTCGGGTTGGGGGGGGTACGGGTTCCATGTGTTTTTTCAACGTTCCCCGACCCCCCCCCCACCGGAAATGGAGGGAAAATTGAGGCCTTCGGGTTGGGTTGGGGTGGATTGGTAGATGGTGAGCCTGGGAATTGGCAGATGGTCAGCGTGGCGCGCCGTCGCGTCGTGGGTCAGAGCTGGGGACGCGACACGCTGAGCAAACGTGCCTGGACCGTGCTGTTTCGCCTCCGAGGCTGCGGCTGTGCCCGGTGCCCAGTCGACCCGCAGAGGTCCCCTGAGGACACGGTGGCGGGATAGGCCCCCCCAGGACACGGTGGCGGGAGAGGCCAAGAGGCCCACAAGCACAAGAGAGTTACTCCAGATGTCAAAGGAATGGAGGGGGGCACTGATTCGGGGGGTCTCATGTGAGCTGCCTTGGACAGCTCGGGGGATTCTGGTCAACGGGCCGCCCCTTCATGGCTAGTCTCGGGGGTCCAGAGCAACCCGTTGTGAGCCCCCTCGTTTAATGTGACATCCGGAACACAGCCTCTACGGCACTTGGGTGATACGGCCTGCCTTGAATGCTGACACGTCCAAATAATTCCAAAGATGGCAAATGGCAAACTGGGGAGACAGCATCCGCAAGAGATGCTATTGTGATTTCCCCCTCATGAGCTAGCCAACCCCCGAGTTGAGCCAGCGGAGCCTCGGCGAGCGCGGCGAGCTCTGTCAACATAGCTTGAAGTCGGGTCTGCAATACAGAGCTTTGGACGGCTTGCAACAAGCATAGTAAGAGAATGACTGGCCGCATCTCTTCAGTAAACTGTCGCTGTCCAGTTCACCCGGCAGACTACACACTTGAGCCGAATCTTCGGTTCAGTCCCCTCTTCTCTGTTCCTCTCATCTCCCGAAGAGCCACCCCGTATCTCGTGGCTGCTCTTCAACACTCACTCAGTCTCTTCTCTCGTAAATCCATCGCGGAGTCGAAGCCCCAACACGGCCGTCTGTTAATTGCTTGATTCCGCCCCTCCTCCCCATCGTCCCTCTCCTCCTTCCCCATCCCCTGCTCCTCACTCTTCCCCTCCTCCCCCTCCCCCGCCGTGGCGACGAGAAATCTTCCGAGGTCTCCTGGCACTAAAGCACATATCCAGAAACGTCCGTCCTCAATCCCCCCTCCCTCTGCCTCATCCTCCCTCCTCGATCGTCAGGTTTTGATCCTCCTTGAGCCCTTCCTCGCCAAAACCCCGATCCTCGAACCCCTCCTCCATATGCCTCCTCATCTCCCCCCCGCTCGTCCCCTCGACGTCAGAGAAACGGGTCCCGGTGGAAGCAGGCAGTAGCTCACGGGGCGCTTCCCGACAGGGTCCGTCAACCGGATGACGGCACCAATGCCCCGGAATGGCCATAGGGGTCCAAACGCCGTGGATACAACTCCAGAATCGATTGACTGCGTGACCCCTCTCCTTTACCCTACATTGTTCACGTTGCACCTTCGGGGGCACCGCCTGTCCAATCGCGCCGCTGACTGCGTGACCGGAATCAAGCCGAGCCACCGACGAATCTGCGCCGAACCCACATCGTGCCAGCGCCCGATTGAGCAAAATGCAGCAATATACAAGACAAACGCCCAGAGATCTGATGTCTTTGTTTTGGTCCACTTCGGGCGCCCCAGAAGTTCCTTTCCTCTCGAGCGGGGGGGTCGCGACCGACTGGGACGTCCAAGGTGGCCCCAGCGAGACGGCGGAAGTAAATGTTTTCCCAAAATTGTATGCCAAATTGGGCCCCCCGTGGGGGGGAGGGGGGCCAAGCCGGGGAGCCACCTTTTTTGATCGATGGCCCGCCAGACGACAAGAGAAGCCTTCAAAAGAGCCCCAAGGGGCCCTCAGAAGGCCTTCAGAAGCCCCCCCAGACGCTCCAAGATGCCCCCCCTCAACCCCACCGAGAGCCAGCAAGCAAGAGGTCTCCAAGACGCCCCAAGATGCTTCCAAGAAGCCCTCAAGAGACACCCTAAGAGATCAAGGAATCCGATCAGGGCGGGGCTTTCGTCCCGACCAATTTTCTGACGGATCTGGGGACTGGCCAAGGCCCCGGGAGACGGGACACTGCGAAAGACCTCAGCCCTCTTCTGTTCAAAGCGTTTTGGTGGTCTGGGAGGTCCCCCGAAACACGAAGGGTAGCAGATGGACCTCCCTCCCACTCCCCGAACCCGCGGGACGACTGACACCGCCGTCGCAGTGCTGGCCGCGGGGTAGGGCGTGTTTCCGTCCTCCCTCTCCTCATGCTCCAGTTCCTCGATCCTCCTCCTCCCTCTCCTCCCCTCCCCCTCCCCCTCCCCCTCCTCCTCCTCCTCCTCCTCCTCCTCCTCCTCCTCCTCCTCCCTCCTCCTCCTCCTCCTCCTCCTCCTCCTCCTCCTCCTCCTTCTCCTCCTCCTCCTCCCCTTCTTCCTCCACCTCCTCCGATCTTCGATGTCATCTCTCCCTCTCTCCCTCCCTCCGTCCTCCTTCTCCTCCTCCCTCCTCAAGCACAAGCGGCTTTAGAGCAGGTCCATAGCTATACCTTTGGCTCCAGACGGCCATGTAGCCACCCTCGGCGCCTCATCGCGGACATGCTTGCGGCATCCTGCGGGTCCGAACACTTTCATCGTTCTCGATTGTTCTGCTGTACCTCACAGCTGAGCTGAGACCAAGGGACATTCATACCTGCAAAGGCAGTTGGTGTTTCCTTCCTGGACATCTTCGGCGCGGTCCAACCCAGGGTCGAAGCGCGTGGGGTGCCGGCGGGCCCTCCCATGCAGAAGCCTCACCTCAGCTCCTGGGTGTACTTCAATGGTGATGTTACTCGGAGGGAGTTGTGAATGTTGTATTGTAGATTCGCAACGTCGCATTTCAAGATGTTGTTTCGCTTTCGAGCGGTGTGGCACTCGTGGAGGTGCACCATTCCATACACTGGTCACTGTGCAGGCGGCGACTTTCAGAGTCTATACGTGGCCCGGCGCGGGCGGCTGCTGCGAAGCTACTTAACGCCTTCAGTGCATGGTTTGTGGCTCGGCAAGACGGCTCGATGGATCCTGCCTCACCCTTCGCCCACCCGTTGGTTTCCAGCGGTATCAGGAGACATTGCTGGCATACTCGGGACGGCCTGCACTCTCTACGGTGAAGTCCCGTGTGTGGACGATGAATCCTTCAAGGGCACATTGCGTTATATCATTCAGACTTGGCAGCGTCGGTTGGTGGGAATTTTCAGCACTCCTTTCTATGGTCACGTTTGGTTTTATCCTAGCGGCGGGGAACCTGGGATACCGGTGAAACCATTGTGTGGGGGCTGAGGAACTCGAAATCCGCCGACTCTGTCGGCGTGTGCGAGGGGCTTGTCTGTTCGAGTCGTCGTCTCCGTCGTCCCCTTTCAGTGCACCCTCCTCCTCAAGCCTGCCAGCGAGAGACACATCTAGCAATGTTGCAGCCGAGTCGAAGGGACGCCCCTTCCCTTTGATCCCTTCCCAATCGCAGGGAGGGGGTCCCGGGGGGGGGGTCGGGGACGAATCCCCCCACTGCGATTTCACAATTTTCGGTTTGCTGTTCCTTTTTCGTTTTTTGGGGTTCGTCATTCGCTTTCTTCCTTTGGAGGGTGGGGCTCTGTCTGAATCGTTTCCGTTTGGACTTCCTGTTCTCTCGTGCGTCGGTGGCGCATGGCCAGGGATGCGCCTGGGGCTTCGGGTCCTTGGGGGGGGGAGAAGGAGGGCCAGATACGCATTCCACCCCGATGGTCCGAGGGCCTCAGAGAGTACCAATACAGGCCGCGAGGGCCCCAGGAGGCCCCCGAGAAACGTCCAAGAGGGCCCCCAATCGCCAAATGATCGGTCCAACACGCGCTCCAGCCCTCCAGACTGCCCGATGGGGTCTCGAACTAGCCCCAAGAGGCCTCCAAAAACTCCAGAGAGGGCCCCAAGAGGTAGCATTCATGTGTGTTCCTTGGGTTGGTTGATGATTTGGGCGTTCTCGCCGTTTCTTCTAACTGCCGCTCCAAGATGGACCAAGAGGCCTCCAAGAGGGCCCGTAACAGCCCAAGGGGACCCCAAGATAGCCCAAAACGCCGCCTTCAAGACGGCCCAGGAGGCCCCGAAGACGGCTCCAAGAGCGTGCCCAGACGGGGGACCAGGAGGTTCCGACGAGGCCCAAAGAGGCCCACAATAAGTCCCCAGGAAGCCCGACGAGGCAACCAAGACGCTCCCAAGAGGCCCCCAGACTCCTCCCCAGAGGCCCCCGAGACCCTTCTGAAGAGACCCCAAGAAGCATCCCCTGGCCCACAGCAGCGTCGTCGTCTCCGCCGCCGCCACCGCCGCCGCCGTCGTCGTCGTCGTCGTCGTCGTCGTCGTCGTCGTCGTCCCCCCTCAGGGTCGGCGGCTCCGGCCGTACGGCCTTCGCAATCATCATGAACATTTCATGACTACTTCGCCGTGTCAGGCTTCGTGATCTTCGGCGAGGGCAGGCTGTTGCCGCAGGTAGGTTCCATTCGAATCACGACTCTGTGATGGGCTCCACTCCACTCCACCCCGATCCACTCCATTCCACTCCACTCCACTCCTCCTCCCTCCTCCCTCCTCCCGATCCTCCGTCTGCTCCTCCCTTCCCCCCACCCCTCCACAATTACACAATATGAAAATACTCTCCCACTTCCCCTGATGGCGTCCCGAAGATATCCGACCCCCCCCCCGCGTACTGCTTTGTTACACACAGGATTCCCGGGAAACGGGTTTTCGCCTGCGTTTTTTTCCCAAAATGCTGCTCTCGCTGAGGCGCCGGCCTCATTTCTGCTCCCGAATCGTTCCGAATCGTGCTCCCGCTGCAGCGTGGGCCTCATTTTCGGATCGGTGTTTGGCCTCCGTCGTTCAGGATGGCGTTCTCGCCCCAGCGCGGGCCTCTTTCTCGCGCGCCCATCCGCCCGCCACCACCGCGCCGCACCACCACCACCACCACCACCACCACCACCACCACCACCACCACACCACCACCACCACACCACCACCACCACCACCACCACCACCACCCACCACCACCACACCACCACCACCACCCACCACCACCACCACCACCACCACCACCACCACCACCACCACCACCACCACCACCCACCACCACCACCACCCACCACCAACAACCACGCACACACGCACGCACGCACGTGCACCACCACCCACTACGCACGCGCGCGCGGAGCCACAGGTCCGCTACGACACGCGTCCGCGGATAGAGAAAATCAGCGCCATGGTAAGGGATGGGAGGGAGGGGTAGGACGTCAGACATGACGCGAGCGCACCTAGCTTGCCATCCCCCCTCCCCTTCACCCCCTCACAGATCCAACGGCATGTTCTTGCTCACTGTCACTCGCCACCGCTGGGACGTCCATTCCCCGTGCAGTTCTCGGCTTCGTGCGCGCATTTCTCGCAAGATCGGCCCCAAATGCTCCTCGAGGGCGTCTGCCGAGAGAACACGCACACGCCCGAGCGATGCCGAGGTCCGGTCCCAGCAGGCCCCGAGCCCTCTCCAGGGGCCGGCCCCTCTCGTCGCACCGCCAGCGCCAGAGACGGCGGACTGGCACCCAGAGAGAGAGAGGGCCTCCACACCTCGTGGAGCACCCGGGCCCTCACCCCAAGCCGTTCCCCCGACGGCCTCGGGGCCCGGGGAGGGCCCCCCGGAGGCCGAAGGCGGGGGGGGAGATTCGCGCTGGTCTTCGACGCCGAAGGGGATCCCTCGACCACGCACGATAGACAAGCGCGTTCCACCACTCGCAAATGAGCTACTCGCTGATGGCTTG